TTCTGCAGGAGCACATGCGTGTGATCTGCCCTCCAACCTGAGCTATAATTCCTATAAAGTACTGCATGTCCTGGACGTGCTCCAAAAAGATGGGGTGGCTCAGCTAAGCCAGGCTGCCTGCAGGGTTGGGACATGGCAGCATCTTCCCACCTCTGCAGAATGGACGCCCAGGACAAGCAAGGGTGCTCCCAGCCACACCACCCTGCTTGCTGCCCAGGGCTGATTGCTCCCAGTGCTAAACAGTGATGGCTGGAGCTGAGCAACCTTTGTGGCATGTTGTCCATCTTTTACCCCTTCCCTCCGGCATCCCCAGCAATCATTGTCCTCAAGGACTGCAACTTGTGGTCCTTGGATTCAGCCCAAAGCCAATGTCTTCAGAAGTAATTTATTTTTTATTTTTATTTTTATTTATTTTTTTCCCCAGCAACTGTGAAACAAAACACATTTCCCAGCCTGTGCAACGTGACCCTCATTTGTTTTTGACATCTTAAAAGGGAGAAATGCCACGAGGTTTCTGTGCAAGGTGTTCTGTAACTTCAGGCAGCTGAGATATGGGGCAGTGCTGGAGGACGGGAGAGGAGGTGTCAAGAGCTTTCTAAGCCAGAGGAAGGGACTTTTCTCCCAGACCTTGGCTCCGCATCTCCCCCAAGCCTGGTGGCACTGGAAGAGATACTGGAGGGTTTGTCACCTGGGGCACATGCAGGGAAGCAGCAGGACATGTATCTCTGCCGCCCACTGAGAGCAGCCCAGAAGAATGAAACAGCTCCTGAATTTCCCAACCCCCATGGGGGTATGGCAGTCTGGGCATTGTCCCAGGAGAAAAGCAGGTAAAAATGGGAAAAAGTGATATGGACAGATAAGATGAGAACGGAGAGAGCACAGCGAGTGCAAAGAGTACTTCCAGCATGACACCACTGCCCAGGCTGAGGTCTTAAGGCAGGCGTTTGAGTTAATTTTAACTTGGGCCATGCGCAAGCCCTATGGGTCCTGAGTCCCACTTGAGTGCAGCTTTCCTTTTGGAGGCATCACGGGGGTGTTGGGTTCCTGTTTTGCAGCCTGGATGAGAGCCGCGGGTTCATGTCCATCACCCACCACCTTCCACAGGCTTTTGCAGCAATGCCAGCCTCACCCTGCGGTGCCCTCCTGCCTTCTGCCATTGAGATGCTGCTGAGCACAGCAGCCCCCAAAAGCTGAGCTCTTTATTAGTGCTTATAATAGCAGAGAGAGCGGGCAAGCATGTCCTCAGCCACCCCCAGGACGTGGCATAATGTTCCCTTTCTTCCAGTATGAATTTGGCTTTGCAGCTGATAGATAAGACTGCCGGAGTCAACACAATGTGCATTGCCTCTAATCAATTGACATGCTAGATCCTTGACAGAAAAACACTTTGTACCCAGTGGTAATTATTTGTTCCCTGCCAGTCCTGGAGATCACACCACTTTCAGAGTGATAAGCAGTTGAAATATGGACTTTTTTATAAACTACCCCTCGGCGGCTGAAAGTCAAAGACATAAAAGAGAGAAATAGCCAGGGCTGGAGGAGCAACTGCAGTGCAAAGACTCGGCCTAGCTCTGGCTGTGAATTCCCCAGGGAAGACAAAGGCTTGCGGATGTCTGACAGCAGGAGGGTTATGTACAAGTCTGGCTTGTCAGGGTGAACATGGACACCAGTTGGAAATTCTGCGGGGCTTCCCTTCTAAGACTGTTATTGCCATCTGCAAGGTCTTCTCCATCAGCTGACCCAGATAGTGTTGCAGCGATGGGGCCCTGCTCTGGGAGAGCATCTATTGGGAAGGGATTTAAAGGCTTGAGGGGCTGTGTGACCATCCGTGCTCCCTGGCAGGCTCTTATTTGAATGCATTTATCTCTCCCTTCCCACCTCCTTAACCCCCTCCCCCCCCATGACACCCTGCTGTGGCTTTGTCAGATTAAAGAGCCCTTTATTAGAAATCTCTCCACAGAGGAATTTATAGGCAGACGAGCCACCTCTTCACCTTCCCTTTGTTAAACAGAACAACTTGAACTTCTGTCTCGCTGGCAGGCAGCTTGCCGAACCTCCTGCCCGCCCTTGCAGCTTTTGGGTGAACCCTTTGTGATTCACCAGCGTCCTCCCCATTAGCGGCTGCCTGACCTGAGCCTTGGCATGGCGTGGGGTCACTGCACCCTGCAGGAACCTGCCCTGCCCTGGCACAGCATGAGGCTCTTCACCTGGGGATATACAGACACAGCAGTCTACTAAAAGCATAATAACACCTCTGTGCCGGATGGATCTGCATCAGAGGTGCTGCCGCACAATGAATTCACATGGTAAAACGCCACGAGGCAGCCAGGAGCTCCACAGGCCTCCAGCACAGCTTGTTTCTTGGGCAGCTTGCTCTCAGCATGGGGCAGTGGCTAGCCTTCAACCTGCTCTGCTGTCCCAACCATCTCAATGCAATGCAAAGTTTCATGGTGATCACTAAGCTGCCTATGGGGATATTTTGGGGTTGAGATACAGACTCCACCAAAACAAATACCTCTTTCAGCAAATGGCTGCCCCAGGAATTTAACACAATAGCCCAGGAGCTGGGCTCAGCTCTCAGCTTGCCTGGTCTGGAGATATCTCCTCTGGGCTTAGCTGGAAAATTGTGCCAGCTGGTCTGCTGGGGACTGCCAGCAGCATCTCACTGTTCTCCCCCCTCTGGGTACCCACATGCTGGCTGGGACTTGCCTTTGCATTTGGGGGCTGGATCCTGTAAATTCCCCAGTTCACCCTTGGATTCCAAGCCAAAGGTGGAGGTGCCCCTGTTCCTTCAAGCACAAAGAGGTACAGTGCAAAGGGCCATCATGGGTACAATGCCAACCCTCTTCGCAGCCATTAGTGAATGCAAGGGAGAGAAAGATCATTTTGCACAAGGAGCCCAGACCAGGTTGGGCTTTGATGGCTGGTTCAACCCAACGGGCACGGCTAAGAACCTGGAGATGTTGGGATGAGTCACCTCGATCCATATTGGCACAAATTCCCTCCACTGGTCTGGAAGGGACCACGGGGAAGGGGCTGGCACAGGGGTTTGGCATCAGGAGACAGAGCTTGGCATCACTGCAGCTTTGCTGGCACGCCGTCGATCAGCTCTTGTTACCAGCTGCTGTCTGCTGGGCATCCTGTGGATAATGAACATGTGGCCTGAGGCCAGGTCCCGGGAGATAATGAAAACTGATAAAACAAAATGAGCTCTCCAGCAAATCCCTTGGAGAGTGTGCTCTTCAGGAGCAATCAGTGATGCTGTCCCTGTGCCAGTCTGCCCACTCAAGTGTCTTTTCTCTATAGGAGGTATTAACAAAACCCCTCACAGCACTTCTGGGAACCCCTGTGGTGTCCCACCTCATCAAGCTTCAGTAAAGACTTCCAATGACTCTTTACCAAAAACTCTTAAAAGAGATTTAATAACTTGCCAAGTGGGGAAATTTGTATGCATCAGAACAGCTCTTGGAGCCCCTGTTGCCCTTAACCCTGTGGAGGGAACATCTTCTAAGCGCTTGTCTGGCAGCCTGGAGAAGATCAGACTGAAACCTGTCAGCTGCTGCTCGATGTCTGGAAGGACTCTGCCTGCCTCTTTATTTGATGAAGTTGTTTTGTGGGTGTTCAAGCCCATAAGCTGGGTAATTTGTTGGGAGCCTTATTTCTGTGTATGGGAGCAAAATACCCAGGGGCTGTAGCCCACCCTCAACTGTAGAGCAAGGCAAGATGAGGAGATGGCAGCTAAATGGCATGCGGGGTATAAAAATCTACGGAGGGTAAAATCTACACTTGTAGATTTTAGGGACAAGATAGAGTATTTTATGTCTCCTGGTACCTTGCAATGGAGATCACCACCAGGTAAGTCAGGAAAGCTGACCAGCTGTAATCCTGGCCTCTGTGCTAGAAGCTTTTTGCCTGCATATTGGACCTACAAAACCAGGACAAACAATGGGCTTGGAAGAAAGGGACCAAAAAAATGTCCCTAATATCAGACAGTTCTCCCCCCTTAGGTCCATTACTGCAAAGGGAGACCCTGCCCTACCATAGCAGGGACTTCTGTGCAAGCACAGAGAAGCTCTTGCAGATGTAGATGGCCTAGGACAGACAGAGCAGGATTTGTCCTGAAGGAAAGTGTTTCCATGCATGAACGCAAGAACTTGAGACAGACTTGGAGGACAGCTTTGCACCTCCTCCATGGCGAAGGGATGGCCTCAGTCCCACAGCCAGCTGGAGACACCAAACACCACAGCTCCCATCTGCATTACTGAAGGCCCCCAAACCAGCAGGGCTTGGAGCTTCACAGAACTTGCTTTCTTTCCTTCAGGGTAGCACTGCATCATTTTGACCCGGTTCCCTTTAAACGCCTTGTCACTAATAAATGAGACTCCAAGAGACAACCACGATGCACAAATTCAGAGCTGGCCCCACCAGCATGGAGCAGATGGGGATGTAGAGGAGGATGAGAGGCTGAGCATGGCCAGGACTCACTGGAGGTGTATGAGAACAGTGGTGGAAGGGACAAGGGGGTACGAGGGGTGAGGGACCAGGGTGGGCTCGTCCTGGCGCCTGCCCCTCGCCCAGGCTGCGCTGCGGGCTCCAGCCTGGGGCAGAGTGGGGGCAAGGCAGAAATGACACAGCTCGGCCATTTCCACAAGACCAGCTTTAATATCAGTCATGAGAACGAGGAGAAAGCACAGAATCCATTAATGGGAAAAAAATAAATTAAAAAAATAAAAATAATAATTTAAAAAAATGAAGAAAAAACCCACCACCCCATGCCACCCACCGCAGATGGACTTTCCAGGCACTGTAGACGGAGGAGCATTACACAGCAGCTGGGGTGGGGATGATCCACCAAGAGCCACCCGGTCCGGCCCCTCTCCAGGGATGCTCACCTTGGGGTGACTGGTAGCGCTGAGGTGCCTGGCCTCGGGGACCTGGCTTAGCTTAAGATTCATCACAGACTGACACGAAGGACAAGAACGTAAGAAGAATCCAAGAGCTGCGACTTTTTGTTTCTTTATTCTAATTCAGCCTACGACGTTAGTAATGGTGATTTCAGGGGATGGCTGGGCCCGCGAGTTCCTTCTTGTTGTGAAAATCAGAGACTGTAAAGAGGAACAGAGCTTATAAAGACAGCTAGGAATATATTGCCATAAAAAGAACTGGCATGCAAGTGCTTTATACATTTGGCAGTATGTGAAATGGTGGGGCTTCGTTTGTTTTTGTGGTGGTGGTCTCTGTGTTTTGTACGGTTCAAAAATGAGCTGCTGCCTTCACATCTTGAAGACAACCCCCCCACAGGAAAGGACAACACAAGTCAAGTCCAAGACGCCTCTCGCTTGGTTTTGGCAGAGTATATATATAATATATATATATATTTAATGCATAGCGATTTTCTTCCTTATTTTTTTTAATCATTTTTTTTTTTGCCCCCGTTGCAAACCTGAGCTTGGTCCCTGCTTTCCCGTGCAGTTTCCCTTCCTTAGGTGTTGGCACTGTGGAGCGGTCGGACGGTGTCAGCAGGCGATCTCCTCCAGTGTTCCCAGGGTGGCCTGCAGCGGCACATTCACAGTGTGGCTGATGGTTTCCGAATGATTTGGCATGGGGTCACAAGTGCTCTGTGGATGGAGAGATGGGACAGGGTCACTCTGGGGCTGCTCACTGCCCCCAGCGTGAGCAGCCTCTCCCCACGGCATCAACAATTGCTTCCTTTGGAAGCGCGACAGCATCAGTCCTTGGGAAATGACTGACGGGGCTGAGCTCAGGGAAATGTGCTCCTCTCTCCCAGTGGGGTTCCTTACCACGTTTTCATCATGGCTCCCTTCCTCTTCCTCCTTTCCGAGTAGGTCTAATAATTTCTCCTTGATCAGCTGCAAAAGAGGGATGTTTGGTTAAGCTGGGCAGGAATAGGCATGGATCAAGCTACATACGGTCACCTCCAGAGCTGGAGGTGCACTGCATTCAGAGTACCCAAACTCATGGGGAAGGAGACAGTCTTCCAAAGAAAACCACCCTGTGTGGCAAAACTGATTTTTTCACATAACAAAAAAATCCAAAACCTCAATTTAAAAAGATATATTTGGGGGTTTATTGAAAATGTCAGCTATGCGAGCGCAGTTTCCCTTCACAGCCACATCTCCTTGGCAGCTGCTGCTGCTGAAAAGCAGATTGGATTTTTAAGGGAAATCCCAAAGAAGTTGAGAAGTGACTGTTTTTCTGAAAATCTTCCACTGGGAGGAAAAAAGACACAAAAGAAGTGAGCTAAAAATGTTAATAACTGGGTCAGTTCCAAAGGAAGCACGGTTGATGCTGGCAGGGAGGAGGAGATGCTCAGTGGGGATATGGGACCAGCTGCACACTCTGCCCTGGTCCAGGACTGTGTGGAATGAATAATAAAAAAAAATCCTATCTAGGTTCCACATTTCCTTCTATTTTGGCTAAGCCACCGAGTAAGAATAGGTGTATCCATTTTCTGGCAATCTCAGATAGTTTACAAATGCTTTGGTTGAAAATGCAGAGTTTAAGGTGCATGGAACCCTGCCTTGATGAAACCCTGAGCAGACCAAGATTTAGATTAGGAGTGATTTAAGGTATTTTATTCCTGCTCTCTCTGCCCAGTGTGGGCCAAGTATCTGCCACAAACGACCATGGAGGTAAATGTGCTGGTGTATCCCCAGGCATGCATCAGGAGATGAGGTGCTCTCTTAAGCCGTGTTTACCCAAAAAGAAGAATAAGAAAAAAAAAAAAAAAAACAGCAAAGGAAACTATTTCCCAAGTTCTATCAGCAGATGTCAAATAAAGGAGAGAAAAAAAAAAAAGAGAAGAAAAAAATCCAAACTTGTCAAGGGTTCTTATTACCTTCTTATGACAGCACCCCAAGATAGCTGGGAGGAGGTGTTTTTAATGAAATACTGTGTGCATTCAGACTGAGATATAAACTGAGGCACTGGAATTATTTGCACTCTGAAGCCATTATTAGCTTTGTGGTTGTAATTTTCAATATATTTTATTGCAGGATAATGCCACTAAGTGTTAACAGCAGCCCAGAAGGGACTGTGATGGGGAGTGACTGCAAAGCCAGAAGCCTTACTTTAATAACATTTAAGAGGTTTTTCAGGATGCTCCAGTGAGCTCAGAAGACAGAGCATGCATGCCTGACATCCCTGTGCACCACCTGGTTGGGCAAACACTAATGCAACCGCCACAGACAACCTCTAACTATGATATCCCCTGGGATTAAAAATCCCTGGTGCCATTATGATAAGGGGCTCAGTCAGGGCTGGATGATGGAGGTCCAAGACATCACATATTTGGGTGCAAGAAGCCTAAAACCACTGCATTAAAATCCCCAGCTGAGCTGAATTAGAGGAAGCACCGTCCCACCTTGGGCTGGGAAGTGCCTCTCCACATAGGTGTTCACATCCTCCTCGAAACTATCCCATGAACTCATTCTTTTCTGCTATAAAACAGGGTACATGCTTGTGTGTTCAGGTCCCTGGGGTCATCTCATTGCAAACAGGGAGCTAAGTGCAGTCTTGGCAGTTGAGATGCTGTTCCCTGGCGGCTCACATCCAGCTGCAGCCTCACTCCCTGCCTCAGTTTCCCACTTCAGCACCAAAAATCATGAGCCTGAAACCTCACATGAAGCTTTCTGCAATACAGAGAAGACTGGGAAATGAAATCCATGGCTAGCAGAGAGGATGCTCTATGGATGGTTTGTTTGGACCGTGTCCCATTTGAAGAGAAAAATGAGGGCAAAAGTCTAAATGGCAGAGGTGGCTTTTGGACCAGGAGGATGTGGAAAGCATCTTGAATCTGCCTGTGTGCTCATGTTGGCAGTGGGATGCTCCAGGGATGAGGCTCACAGTGGGGTTTTAACAGCAAGAGAGCCTGTTTAGGACTGCCAAGGCAAATTTTGGCATCACAGCACATAGAAGTCAAAATCACCTGGGAGGTGCTGGGCTGAGACATTAGCTTTCACAGAGGAAACTGCTTAGGCAAAAAGAGATTACAAATATGCAAAGGTGATAATTGCTGATGGAGGGCAGGAGGAAGGAGGGCTGCTGGAAAGCAGCATCTCCCCAGACTGCTTATTGCAGTAATTGCCACTAAAGGGCTTGTACTTTTCCCTGGAGCAGCTGCTCTTGGCCACCAAGGAGCCCCAGAATCATGATCGAGCTCGTCTCAGCTGTTCCTGGAAAGCTCCTTGCTCCAGGGCTGCCGGCAGAGCTGCAGCCAGTGGAGAACAGGGATTAGGGTTTTCCACCATGGGCAGCAGCGCAAAGTCCAGCCTCACTGCTTCTCCAGCCTGATGGGTGGGTAGAGCAGTCATTAATTAAAGGCATTTGCATGAAAAGATGGTAACAGATTGGCTGCATGCCAGCCCCTTGCATGAGGAGCTTCCCACTTACTTGGCACTGATGTAGGAAACCCACACCATGCTACATAGCTGAGACTGGTGCTACAGCACTATCATAGAGCATTAATTACATAGTATAACTAATTTATAATTATTATAGTATTAGTTGAGCACATTGGGCTTGGAGTGGTCTGCGACTGCCCCAGCCTAGCATAAACGCTTGCAAGCCCACACCATGCCTGACAAAGGAAGCAAAGGTGTCTTACCTCATATATATAATCAAAGAGCTCTAGTATAGTGAGGATACTAGCACCGATAAATAGCCCCATCTGGCCTCCAATGTCACCTAGGAGAGACAACAACACACCGGTGGTTTTATCCTCGGGGTGGGAGCAGAGAGGGATAACCCACTCAGCCCTGCAGCCCAAAATCCCAGCACTGAAATCAGGGATGGAGGGGACCAGGTGTGTGCCAGGTCTTGGTTCAACCCATCATGAGCAAAGTTGTGCCTGTGCTGAAGGCTGATGGCTCACAAATACTCTTAGAGCATCCATGCTACCATGGTGCAGCTGGGCAGGGCAGATCAATGGGCATTTCTCCTTCAGCTGCAAGCCTAATGAGGACGCGATACTGCTGCATCGCACTGGCATCGGAGGAAGCCATCTGTCACAGTCAAACAGCAGGTTTCATCCCAGCAATCCCAAAGCCCTTCCCAAACCGGGCAGTGGAAGAAGAAGGATGCCAGAAACTAACTAGGTAATGTCCCATGGAGCCCAAAAAACTCAAGCAAATCTGCCACAGAGATTTGGGAGCAGGGAAAGGCTAGCTTTTATTCTGAGGCATCTTGAGATCGTTTCTGCTAGGGTCCTGTGGTGCTACAGGGCTGAAGAAGGGCTGCGAGGAAGGCACCATGGGGAGAGGACACTTCCAGGATCTGCTGGGGAAACAGCTCCCGATGTGCAGTGTAGCACTCTACCAAACCATACATCAGGGAAGACAAACTGCCTGGGTTTTGCTGCAAAACGCCCATATTTCAACTGTGAAAAGGCACCCTTGGGTGGAGGGGTCACCAGAACTTTTGCTGTGGGTGCCCATGACACAGAGACAGAAGAAAGAGAGGGAAAAAAAGAGCGCTTTTGGGCAAAGTGCTGCTTCTAAAGGGGTTGGGTGCTGGGAGGTAAGTGCCAAGAGCCCTGGGGATGAGGGTTGTGCAAAGGGTTGCAAATGAGGAGGATGGTGTCAAAGTGGCTTCAACACCAGCCTCTTCCTCTTCCTGAACCAAGCACCTTCACCTCCCAGACCCAGTGGGTCCCAGGCACCTAAATCTTTAGCCGTCATCCACAAAGCTTGACCCAATTCGAGGCTAAGCAACCCAGCAGCCCCTCTACCTTCTCCATTGCTCCATAGGGAAGCACCCGAAAGTAAAGAATTCAGGGTCCTGGATGGCCCTGCTGGAACGGAGGATGGATTATGGATTTGGAGTATGTAAGAGGTGATGGGCAGAAGGTTTTAAGAAGTGTCCTCCTCCATACACTGCTCTTCCAGTGTAGGGGGCACCACAAAGAGCATCCATCTCCTGCTCAACCGAAACTTTAGTACTCTGGTAGCAAGCAAAGATGGAGCAGCTCATGTTAACCTTTCTTGGTTGACAAAAAGACTAGCAGTGGTCCCTGGGACATTTCCCAGCTTGGTGTCAGAAGGAAAATAAGAGAGGGGATTGAAAGCATGATGGGCAGTAAGGTGGCTGGACCTTGCTGTGATTTCATGGCAATGCCAGTAACCTGTGCACCCACTTGTGGCATCTGTCCATCCCATAAACACACATGATTCACACAGACTCCAAAATGCACCCCTGACACCTCCTTACCAAGTAAGGCTGCCACTTCATAGGCTTTCTTCTGCTCAATTGTCTCATAGTTGAGTGCTTCAAAAAATATGTCCAACACAAGAATATTCTCTCTGTAGAAAGAGGACAACAGCACCAGCCCATCAGCCACCAGCAGCCTTGTGCACTTTGGGGTAAGAAAAAAAAAAAAAAAAAAAAGGTCTTTGGGGCTCTATTCTCTCTGTTCTCATGGCTCTCCTGGGGTTCTCAGAAACCCATAGACACTTGGCCATTGGACCTCTTGGAAACCAAGCCACAGGGCATCCTATGGCTCCCCTGGGAGCCACAGACCAAGCTGGAGGATTTCTCTCCCAAGATCTCTGCTCAGGATCTGATAGCTGGATCTCACTTTAATGGTAACAGAAGAGTCAGAATGATGATTAATATGGAATAACTCTAGCTGCCTCCATAAAGTAATAATGTGCCCAGGGCTGGTAAGAGCTTGAAGTTGATGGCTGCCTGAGAACTACCACCTGAACACAGGCAGCGAGCAGACATATCTCAGAAAGAGTCAGCAAGTCTGGGCAGCCCTGACAATATAAAAGGACTTTTTTTTTTTTTTTTTTTTTTGGGGGGGGGGTGGGGAGAGTATGGGGTATGCTCATGGAGACAGGGCCAAGGAAGAAATACACAGTTGTCCTGAAATACCTCTACTGAGCTGAAAGCAACTTACATCTCATCTCTTCGAGGGTTTCACCCGAACCCTCTCTGGAGAACATCTGCCTGTTTGGTGATGGGGGTATTGGCAAGGTCTAGTCTGGTCAGGAGCTGGTTTAAATGGCCATCAGGGCTTTACAGAAACTTTCTCCCCTGTTTACTACAGCAACTAAAAGATCTGTTTTCTGCAACACTCACGAGATATATTTTTCTGACTTGTTAAACTTCTTCTCCAGGTACTTGGCCGAAGTCTTGCTGGGGATCTTGACCATGGAGAGCTCTTTGTTGTACCTGGTCAGGTTACAGGGTGTCCTGCAGATGCAGTAATTGCTGTCCTTTTCAGCAAGCAAACCTGGAGAAGGTCAGTTAGATCTCATGAAGTCAGGGACACACAGAAGATGTGGACCAGAGGCCATGCAGCCCAGAGAGGGGCCAAGCAGTCAGATCTCGAAAGAGAAAAGCTGCAAGAAATCCCAGTCCCGGCCATTTATCTCCCACTTTATTGCATGGCCATTTGTGGCAGCTTGAAGAGAGGCCCTTTGTGTCAGGCCACGCTCAGTTACCAGCATCTGCCTGGGGACAAGCAGCGGCTGTAGCTCTGCCTTTGCTGGTAAGATGCCAACCCTTTCTCCCATGCGTCTGATCCTGCAAACAGCACTCAGCCCTGGGAGTCTACTAAATTCCAGTCCAGAATGGGTTCCTTCTTCCATCCCAAATCCAGACACAGCCCTGGACCTGGACCCGGAGGTACTCCCCTCCTACATCTCTTGGGGTACCCGTTACCCTGGAGGCTGCTGCCCTGATGGAGCCCCGCACCCATCACAGTACTAGAGGAAACTTTATCTAAAGGAACACCCAGACCTCCCCAGCACTTTGGTTCTCATCGGAACCCATCACTGGGCCGCAGCTGCTCTAAACCACCCCATCCCAGGAGGAGGCAGGCTGCTGAAATCCCTCCAGCTTGGCACAGCCATGGCACCCAGGGATACCCACTGGTACTCACCGAGTGCAGGCTCTGCGCATTCCTTGTACTGCTCTGGGGTACAGAAGGGAGCATCACCTGCAGGGAAAGGACATGTGCATCATCAGTGGGCATCAGCTACTGTTGCTTAAAGGGAGCTGGGGACTGCATGGGGACAGCAAGGAAACCACCCACTGCCTACCATTTGCAAAGGGAGCCAAAGCTCGTATGGGCAATGGAGGGATTGCAGCACCTGCCCCACCTCTGCCTGCTATGGAGGCCTCTTCTTGAAAATTGAGGAAGGGGTCACTGGAAACTTCACCCAAGGGTGCTAACCCAGGGCTAAGTAAGAGGAAATCAGGCCCATGCCCCTCTGCAACTTTCTGCCCCTATTTCAGAGTATTTTAGAAACAGTATTAACATCCCCTTGCCCCTTTAGGGCAAGGTATTCCCGGCTCCTTTAGTCCCAGGTCCCTTGTCACCTTCTCCAGCCCATTAACTCCTAGCAGTCCAGGCTGGGTGGTGGGAATGGTCCCTGCTCTTCCAGCGCACTGACCTGGCATATGAACCATTTTGCAGTTGCAGTTTTCCACAATATACCGGGTCTCGCAGTCGATCCTGCAAGCCGTGATGCTGTAAACGGGAAAGAAATCTAAGCCCATCTCTGACGAGCGACATTCACCCCATGGCGGAGGCAGGTACGTCAGCTGCAAGAGAGGGAGGAGCGGGGTGTCAGGGGGCGTGAGGACCGGCAGCAAGGACCAGGTGCAGCATCTCCTCCTCTTGCCGGAGAGTAACCCCCAGAGCACAATTTTAATGATGTTTTTAAGGAGAGGACCAAGGGGTGCTGCTGCAGGGAAACGACACAGCATGACTTTTCCCAAGTGAGTGACAGGTTTTGGTGCGTGGCATTTTTTTGCCCCACCCATAGGAAATAAGGGGATCGTGGTGTTTAGGAAGGCAGCTCAGCTCTCCCAGGCATGCATACAGCCTCCAGCCCTCCAGCCCAAGCCCCATTACTCATACAAGTCAATTCCAATGCTGAGCTCCAAAAATGGCCAGGGAGAGAATAATGCCTCATGGTTAATCCTGCATCCCAATCTTGGAAATAGCATTAAGCAATTGCCTGAAGCAGCTTCCTAAACCCATCCTTTCTCTCAGGGACTCTTTTTTTGCCTTAAGCAAGCCCTTCTGCTGAAGAGCTTGCCTCCAGCCCAGCATCTCCTGTAGCAAAGCCACAGCAGGATGGTGAACAGGGGATGTGCAGCACCAAAGATTCTGCAAGAGCAGTTTTAAGGAGCACTTTGCAGTTTCTCTTGCACCAGGAGAAATTCTGCCCATGCAGGGACTGATGGGGAGGCTCTGCCCAGCAAATTGGCTTCAAATTTGGTAACAGCAAATGTTGGGTCATTGGCACTGGTGTGTGACAGCTCCTGGTTCAGGCTTATTCTAAGCTTGTGGGGACAACACTGACAGTGCTGGTGATGTTAAGGAACAGATAAAGGTCAAGGGCAAGAGCCTGACAGAAGCAATGCTCTGGCATGAACAAACCTGTGTTTCTACTGTTCCCTTCTTCAGGCGCATTTCTCATTGATACAAAATGCACCAGATGACAACCCTCAGACACAGTGGACCAGGCACTTGGGAGGCACACAGAAAGGACCAAACCCAGTTTAGCAACTAGCAACTCACAGGTACCAATGCCATAAGGCGCCACCAAACCTCCATGCTCCCCATTGAGAGAAGGCTCTGCTCAGAGTCATGCTGGGCTGCGGAGTTCTATGTCGCTGCAGCCTTGAGAAGAGGGACAAGTCATTCATGCCTTTTTCCAAGTACCTGTGGAGCTAGATACAGCTGATCCAAGTAATCTGTTCTCCTGGCACCCCATGATAATGAGGAACTGTCTTCCTCTCCAGTGTTTGCACACCATCTAGCATGAAGTCCTGGCTTGTAACCCAGTCTGCTCAGTGCCAGTGCAATGTGAACCCTTCTGCTGTAACCACTTTATTTAACACAAATGCAAAGATAAGAAAAGCAGAACCCCACAATCCACCACAGAAACCTTAATTGTGAGCCCAGAACATGCTGGAGGAAAAACAGCCACTCTGTGGCCTCTATGGACAAATCTATCTTGTTTGCCTTCTATCTGCAGCTTGGCAGCCTTTCCCATTTCTCTTTATCTTTGCTAAATGCTCTGCAATACTTTTTTTCTAGAAAGCAGAAAATAGCATTCCCCTAACCCCTCCTTCTTTGTGTTTTAAAGCAGCATCCAATTTGCTGTACTTTGCTCCAAACACAGAATGCTTTGTGCTGGCAAAGCACTTTGGCTGAACAGAAACATACGTTTAAAAATGTAGTAACATTAATCACAGTCTAAAAAAAAATATGTAAACATATGGTGATGGACTACAAGCCCAGGACCTAGAGGCTAGGCTCTATGGTGCTTCTTTGGAGCTGTCTGTGTCTCTTCTGGAGATCTGGGGGAAGGAAAGAGAGGAGAAAAGAGATAACTCACAAAGTGGAGGCACATTTTAGATGTGGTTGGATGAAGAATGATCCTCAGAATCCTTCAGGCATCGACCCGTGGTTATTACAACAATATTACCATGACATGAACCATTTGGCACTCATGCTGTTGTCCAGGTATCCCCCTTGAGACCTCCTGTGAGAGCAGAGTTCCAGCTCTCCAAAGCGACTTCTGAAAAGATGTTAATTCTGTGTGCCAGCTTGCAATGCTGGGGTGCTGGTAAACCCCCCTGTGGCTTCAACGTACTAACCACTGAGTACTTAAAAACCTATAATGGACTCTAAATTGCAGCCAGGAAGATAAAGATGAAATGTTTTGAAGAACTCGTCTAGTGGCGAGTACAGTTTGGGGCATGAAACGTGGAAACTGGGGAAAAGGCCAGGCTTTGGAGAGGGAAATCCTGCCCTGTGGCCCTGGACAAGCTCTCAACTCAGCCAAGCCAAAGTAATTCCCTCTCTATGAACAAATTTGCCATGAACAGTTCCTATCCAGGAATCCAGGGGTGCTTTGCTCATTTCAGCTCTCTGCTGGCTACGGGTTCCAATCCTGTCTGTCTCTAACAGACTGATGCAGGTTTTACAGGACTGACTGGAACTGCAGTCAAGGCAGCCCTGCAGCACATCCATCCTCTAGTTGAGCCACGGGTCCTAGCCATGATGAGATGGTAGTTCAAGGTCTGTCCTTGCATGAGACCGGGGGTAAACCCTGGAAAAGCTCAGTCCCTGCCTGCACAAGGGTGAAGGGCTCAGTGTGATGGTGAATTCCCAAGCAGAGAATTGTCAAATCCCTTCCCCCTACTCCTGCAAGCATTAACGCTGCTTCTCTAGTGCTGATGGGAAAAAAAAATAAATTGCAGCATCACCAATGGGCCTTGGAGTTCTCCAAATCCACCTAAATACACATCACCACTCAGGCTGCTTTAAAGAGCAACAGCGGTGAGAGCTGCTCAGTGCAACATGAAGCAATCTGCACCCAGCGAGTCCCATCTAAGATGAAGACAATTTGCACATCACGTGCCAAGATGCAGCCGCTGAAGGCAAATTCCCATCTGTGGGGACCAGCTGAGGATCTGAGAAAAAGAAGCAGCTCCCAGTCACCTCAGCATCCTCCAAGAAACAGGGCTGCCTCTGAATTGGATGCTTTTGAAAGTCAGCAAAGCAACACCTTTGAATGAAAATATCAAGAGCGTCTCTGCGACAATAGCTAAGTACTGTTTGAAGGGAATCTTTTCTCATTTGCTTTACACTTGCAATATAATGGAGTAGCAGATGCCATCATTTAGTCATCTGCAGTGGAGAAAGGGGCCCATATGTTGCACATTGAATGATAAAGGAGAATAAATAATCAGTCTCAGATGGAATCAGCTCTCTTCCAAGCACCACTATACGCAAATCTTTTAATCCCTTTAAATTTTATTCTGAATGTAGGTGATGGGATCAGAAAACGGTGGAGTCACCATCAGATACTTAGCTCACACACTTTTTGCTCAGCCAGCACACACTTTTTGCTCAGCCAGCATCGGATTTGAGCTGTGGTGCTTATGAACCAGCACTGCCTCTGCAGGGGAAGAATGGGCAGAATGCTTAATTAAAACCTCTCTAACGCAGCAGCAGTAACAGTGTTAGGTCTTGTTTCATAGCTGGGACCACAAGCACTGACCACTCATGACCAGCTCTAGGACAGACCCCATACAGCAAAGCAAAGTTGGTTTGCTTTTCCCTAAGGCATGGCTTTCCACAGGGATTTGTTGCTTTGCCCCCTATCCCCCGCTCCCTGCACACACTTGCACACCCATGCAATTCTCTCCTCTCCAGCTTCCAAACACGCTGGAATCAGTGCAGCACATTTCCCCCACCGTGTGCCGTCACACATTTAATGCCCACTGAGATTTTTGCTCTGCAATGCAAGTTAGACCCTTCCTCAAGCAAGTCAATGAACTCTTCTCTCTCTGAGGGACTCATCAAAGGCTGTTACCTGGAGCTTCCATTGTAATTGCAGCTTCAGAGACTCACTGCTTCCCTTCTGCCCTGTAATTTATAATCAGAAGCAAACTCTCAACTCAGCAGCAGCCAGACATTGATGCGGGACCTCTCCAGAGGAGGAAGGCCCATCATTAGGTTCTGGGCTCTGCACTGAATGGGGGAGCTGCTGTGAAGGGGCTGTGCCTGGCAGGTTGCTCCCTCCAAGACGCTCCCAGTATCCTTCAGAGAGGAGAATGCACAGCCCCAGAGCCGTGCTTTCTTTGCAGTAGTGCACCTTGCAGTGAAAGGCTTGAACCAATTGCAGCCCACTGTGCGTTCCCTGCACCAGAGGGCAATGGAGTAAAATCCTGAGTTTCTCCCCACACTGTGACTTCTCCCTCTACAGGATGGTTCCATGTATGCTCCCATGAGCCCTGCAAGCCCTGGGGTTAATGCAAGCCCTTGAGTCAATGCAATGGTGAACTTGCCTGCAAGAGCATCCCTCCTTGTGAGCCACCTTAACCTGCTCATTGATGCAATGGGTGTTTCCTTGGGGCTGCAACCTCATGTAAAGCCTTGGTATTCAAAGCACTTGGCCCTGGGGAACTGCCTGAGCAATGCATTTTGGCCATTTGACATCTAAATCTCCTGCCCATGAAGCTAAAGAGGCTGTCACGTTGCACCAGGGAATCCAGCCTGCCTCGTGAGCCAGTGAGCAGGAGCACACAACAGCGCAATCCCACAGACTGCAGTCGCACAGAAACAACTTAAGCGGGAGAGACGCTAACTGGATTTTATTTCTGCCCCCTGCACAGCGTGTGACCATGAGGACATCTCCTCCTCCTGAAGGAATTGCTTTCCCCTCTTCCAGACATGCTAATTTTTGCCCCATGTGCAGTGCCCAGCGGGACCTGGCGCTGGTCTGGCAGAGGCTGCCTGAGCATGCTGAGCTGCTCCCTACCACCAAAGATGCCTGACTTTCCTTGGAAGCTGGAGGGAAATGACAAAAAAAAAAAAAAAAAAAAAAAGTAGGGGCAAAAGCAGCAGGGACAGTTTCTGCCCTCGGTTCTTGCTGGAGCGTAGCTCTATCTATAACTGTGCTCCAGTTATTCAAGGGCTGCCTGCACATTGCCCGCCCTGGCACCGCAGTCTAATGCTGAAAGAAATTCAGCTTCAGCATCTAATTGAGGTCGACAAACTCGCATCCTCACACCATTCA